TCCCTGTCCCCCTCCTTCCCTCCCTTTTGTTTTCTCTCTCTTTCTTACATACACAAGTGTATTTGGCCAAGTGTATTAGACACAGGAAGTTTGACTCTGGTGCAAATTCTCAGTGTACATGCAAAATAATAGAATACAGGTAGTCCTCGAGATACAAACCTAATGGAACCTGCCCATTAGGTTCGTAGGTCAAAAAATTCATCAAATGAATCAGGCTAAATTTTACAATTTTTAAAAAATCAAATTCATGAATTGAATCAAATGGCTTGTTAAATGAATGAAGATCTTACTTACTTTCCACCGGCCGCCAATCAGCTGTTTCCACCTCTGCTGATCAGCTGTTTCCAGTACAACTGAAGGAGGAACTAAATTTCCTCCAAGCAGACTCGCAGAACTCTTGTTTGCAGTTTTAAAAAACAGTTAATCAGCTCAAGCATCTTCAGACAGCTGCCCAAGGTGTGTGTGTGTGTGTGTGTGTGTGTGTGTGTGTGTGTGTGTGTGTGCAGTGGTGGAATTCAAAAACTTTTACTACTGGTTCTGTGGACCTGGCTTGGTGGGTGTGGCTTGGTGAGCATGGAAGGAGAAGGATATTGCAAAATCCCTATTCCACCCCCATCCCACTAACAGCTCCATTCTCCTACGCAGGACAACAAAATAAGACCCAGCCGATCAGCTGGGACTTGGGAGGCAGAGAATAGATGGGGGCAGGGCCAGTCAGAGGTGGTATTTGCCAGTTCTCCGAACTACTCAAAATTTCTGCTGCCGGTTCTCCAGAACTCATCAGAACCTGCTGAATACCACCTCTGGTGGGGTGGGGGATTTACAGAACCCTCTGATTGCAGTTGCTTTAAAAACAAAACACTTGCCACTAAGCCAGCCACCTAGAGGGAGATGGGAAAGGAATTTACAGAACTCTTGGCTTGCAATAATAACAGACATGGAAGAGATCTTGAGGCCATCTAAGTTTAACTCAGTGCAGTCACAAGAGTATTTCTGATAAATGCCTATTCAGTCTCTTCTTAAAAGCCTCCAGTGATTGGGTACCCACAACTTCTGGAGGCAATTTAGATTTAAAACCTCTTTAAAAAAAACACTGCCCTGATCAGCACAAGCCTCTCCAGACAAAATCCAAAAACTCATATAAATAGCTTGCAAATTTGAAAATCAGCAGTTTAGAGAAGGGATACAGCATTATGGAATGCTTTGTGTAGATGCTGGCGCGAGCACTTCTACAAGCAGTTTTAAAGCAAATTCAAACATTACCTCTGCAAAGAACTGTACTTACAAACATAATATTGTAATTTGCAAAGTATAGTACAGTACTTAAAAAGAAGCAGAGCAGTTCCCAAAATGCTTATAAACAGTACTATACAGTACTATAGAGTAACAAAAACAAATATTTTAAAATACTTACAGAAGCAATTCTAGCACTTCAGTTCTCAAGCCCAGGCAGCAGCATCAAAAAAAATCAAAAATAATCTTGGCGCCAGGCTGGCTACAAACATCACCAGATCTTGTTTGGCCATGTGACCAGGGACAAAAAAAAAAACAGGAAAAAAACAACCCTGCCCACTTCCAGAAATTGCCTCATAAGCCTTAACGGCACAGGCAAGACACAGAGTTAAAAATGGCGGCCACTGCAGCAGTGACTGAATTCAAGTCACATGACTATAGAGGTGTTTTTTTTTAATTACAGTTTTGAATTTCTAATGCAAGTACCATTTCTGAATGAAATTCTGGTGAAAATTCTCTAAAGAAACCCTTATATCTGGGAGATTACATGTAATGATAATAATCATAATAATACTAATAAGAGAGTGGAGTAAAGAAGATAATAGAAGGATAAATATTAATACTACAGCCATACTACATGGGTAAATACACATAGACTTTAGACAGCATTATGAGAACTAAGTCTTCAGCAGTGTGATACGAGAGGGAAAAAAAAACTATTTGTGTGTCTAGTCATTTTGGCAATGCAATACCCTACAGGATCGTCCCAAGGTGAGGAAAACAGTTTATGTCCAGGATGTTAGGGGCCTACAGATATCTTCTCAACTCTCCTGACCTGGTCAATATCCAGGTCTTCTGTGGGAGACAGGCTCGTTGCAACTGTTCTTTCTGCATCCTAACTATCAATACTAACCCCTCAAAGGTCTTCATAAGTGTAGATATCAGAGCAACTGACCTGTATTCATTCAGCTCCCTGATGGAGGATTTCTTAGAAACCAGAATGATGGGAGAGCATTTGAAGCAAGAAGGGACATAACACACTGATTTATTAAAAATTAATGTGAAAATGGGGGCCAGTTGTTCAGCAACAGGCTTTCAAGCAAGGAACTACTCTGTCTGAGCTTGGTGCTTTCCTGACCTTTTGTCTATCAAACACATTCACAAATCTTTTTCTAAGATCATCAAAGGTGTGGGGGCCCAGAGGAACACAAGTAGGTGTAAGAAAATTGGCTACTGGTGGTGTATTTGAAGTGGGGTAAGTAACAGTAAATGACAGTGTCTTCTGCTCTAACCTACAGCAGAACACATTCTGCAGTTGATTCTCTTCAGGAATGGAAGAAGATCTACTGTAGCTAATGATGTTCTTCAGGCTTCTTCACACAGTTGCAGATTCATTAGCTGAGAACGGATTTCTCAGCTTTTCAAAGTGGCTTCTCTTTGCTACCCTGATTTCCCTTGTTAATGTTCTTGACTTGATTGTACAAGATCCTACCTTCTATCCTTTTTGACATGACAAAGCTGCTTGAGCTTAGCTATAAACCAAGGCTTATTGTTGTTATATATACATAAACTTTTTGTCCTCACAATGCTAACATATGAGGTCACAGTCTCAGTAAATTCATATAAGTACATTGAAGCAGCTTCAAAAATACCCCAGTCCATGCAATCAGAACAACCTGTATCTTTGCCTCCTCAGTATAGCTCTTCACTGTTCTTACCACAGACTTTGTACTTTTAAGTTTCTGCCTCTAGGTGGAGATAGGATGGATCATACAATGATGAGAGGAATCTATGGCTACCCAAGAAAGACAGTGGTAAGTACCTTTTAACGTGGACTAGAAGTGATCCGACATGGTCTTGTCTCTAATGAGACAGCTGACATGCTAAGTATATCTGGGTTATTCATGAGTTATATTAGCTCTGTTAAACTATCTGGATATTTCCTTTTTATGCAAAGACTCTGCTACAGTCTGCAGCATGCTGTTCATGCAAGCCATACATATATCATTTTTATTTTAAGTTTTACTAATGCACATAGTACTGTACAATTATCATAAATGTAACAGTTTGATCACACTATTTCCAGAATGCAATCTAGAATTGAGAAATTTCTTGTCATTTAGAACAATTAATCATGGAACAACTTGCCTCCAGAAGATGTGAATGTGCCAACACTGGAAGTTTTTAAGAAGAGATTGGACAATAATTTGTCTGAATTGTATAGGGTTTCTGGCCTGAGCAGGGGTTGGTCTAGAAGATTTCCAACGTATCTTGCAAGTCTGCTATTCTATTATTCGAACTACTAACCAAAACTCCAGTTTCTTTCCTCCACTGCCATTGATTTTAGTTTTGTTGGCAGATGAGCATAAATTCTGTTTTACAATGTAGACACCAAAATCAATAAAAAAGGGAACTGACTTAGTGAAGACTAGGGAGAGACTTTTTGTGAACCTTTAAATATTAAGAATAAAAGTCTGGCTTATTTGAACTTACTCACAATCAATTGTGTATCCCCTGAACCAGTTTTGTCTACTGGTTAAGGCACCAGGCTCGAAAGTGGAAGATCATGAATTCAAGTCATATCTTAGCATGAAAAATGGTTGAGCTTAAGCCAGTCACTGTCTCTCACCCAAGCCCGCCTGACAGGGTTGTTATGACAAAACTACAGGCAGGAAAGTGTGTTGAATATATTTGCTGCTTTGAGTTATTTGTAAAAAAATAAATAAACAAGGGTCACAAATAAATAAATAAAAATAAGATATATATAATAGCAACACAATCAAGTCTTAGCTAGATGAGAGCAAACTGAAATTGATTATCTGTTGTGTCTATCTCAAGCAAACAAAAATGATCAAATAAAGTCTCCTTAAAGACTATTTTGTATAATAGGAATCAACACAGATTTATTTCCCATTACCTACTATTTTTTCTCCTGTTAATGACAAACAGTGTCAGATCCCTGTTTGGGATACTGCCATTCATCTGGGGAGAAGGGGGAATATAATATTTAGATGTACTTTCTTCCTTGCCTTCTTATTGCTTTCTTCCTTGCTTGTAACTTTTCATTTTATAACCTTTATCCTGGCGCCTGAGCACCCTGAGATTTTTTCACCTTGTGAGGAATCTGACACTGTTTGTCATTAACAGGAGAAAAAATAGTAGGTAATGGGAAATAAATCTGTGTTGATTCCTATTATACAAAATAGTCTTTAAGGAGACTTTATTTGATCATTTTTGTTTGCTTGAGATAGACACAACAGATAATCAGAAGAAGGCCATGTGGATTGTTTCATTCTGAAAGGCGGCAGAAGATGACCCTGAGAATGCTCCCTTATCAGGATCCCAGGACAGGCATTACAATAACATCTCAACACCTGTGGTTTGGTTGAATCCAGGTCGGACTGAAGGGAGGGGTCTCTAATCCCTATTATTCTAACTGTATTGCCTGAGGGAACCCAGAGTCTGCTTTTCTTTTGTCCTGCTTTTACTCCTGCTCAATAAAAGGTTGCTTTTGAAATGCCAAAGTTTCAAGAGTCTTTACTTTCTTGAGTGAGGAGGAGAGGGCAGATCTTACAAACAGCCTTCTTTCTGATCAAATCACATTGCTAGAGACATTCCTACAGAACCCTTTATCCATCCTTTCATTTTCCTCACATTGTCCTACATGCTACTAGTTTTAATAAAACTGTACAATCTGAGCCTAATTTGCTCCAAGGCCCCATCAACTGTAGTGTTTCATTTTCATGCTCAGTGCAATGACTACTTACTCAAAAGGGTCACTGGGATCAGTCCTTTGGAGCTCCGGTGGAATTGGTATTCTTTTGTAATACATTTCCCAATCAAAGGCTCCACGCATGGCATCCCCTGCTTGTGCCTCATACCCAAAGTGATTGTGGTCAATGACATCGATCATCGGACATACAATAGTTTTATGGTTCACTGCAATCTGGTCTGAAATATGAAAACAGAAAATACAAAAACAGCAAGATAGTCAAGCCATTTATCACCTTACCTCCCTCCCAACAAAAAGGCCTTGGCCTTCTTCCCTTTTCCTCTGCTTTACTTTTTTTTTAAGTGGAAGATTGCTTAGGCAAGTCCCTATGGCCCTAGAAGCATTTCAGTTTTCATATCTGCATCCAGGCTCAGTCTTGTCTGGGCTTGATGCATTTGCACAATGATTAGAAGCAATTATAGTTCTTCAAAGAGAGAAGCATCCCAGCGAGACCATCAAAGTCAAACCATGTATATTTTTGTCATTGCGCTGGTCTATGCTGTCTCCAGTCTGTCACATAAAGAGCCAACAAGGATGCTCAGAAAGAAAAATGAATGAAAAATGCTCATTTAAGGTTTGCATACAATGATCACAAATAAAATGCTGCTTCTTGTTATTGAAATATATTTGGCTTTACCATAATCCAGTACTTGAAATGCAGGGATCTTCCAGTCCATTACACTTTTATATGCCCCCATAATACTATTTTATGTCAGAATTAATCTACAAAAATTAATTTTCAAAAAGAAAGCTCAAAAATTTTAGGGTATTTATTTCATCTCACAATATTAGTGGCTTAAAGGGTATTCAGATGAATCCCAAGTTATACTGGACTTTGTCAGACTCATCAGGTGATTATATCTAAAGACATCTTTTCATCTACTATGATCTGACATTGTCAGCAGGCTTTGGGTCGTTTAGTTTAGGCAATATTATCTTGTGGAGATCAAGAAGCATGCCTTCTCTGTTGGTCCTGCCTTTAGAACAGTATTTTCCTTGAGATTTGGTTAGGTATGAGATAGTCTGCCCGTCAGCCCCGGATCCATCTTGAATCAGATTTGGGGCTGCCACAAGGGATAATGGGTAACTGTGGGAATGAAAGTAAAGTGAGAAGGGAGGATAGCCACAACAACATTCTTTCGCCAGAGCTCAAGGCCGAGTCTCTGGAGGAGAGTGACTGGACTTGGCGAGAGTTCAGAATGGAGGTGGATTAGCAAGTGTGACTTAAGGGTCATCAGTAAGGGGGTTGTATGTGAGTTTAATATAGCAGGGGAAAACATGGGAATTCAGATTCGGGTTTTCCCAGATGTGCCAATATGACTTCTCTAATAAATTCCTACTTGGATAAACTTTGTCTCTGAGTGCTGAATTAGGATGGAGAGTTTGGTTGGAATGCTGACACTAACCCGAATTCCCTAAAAAGAAAATCACAGTGGCTTTTGCAAAAGCGGTGCTGCTGCCTGGGGTACTGAGCCCTGAGAGGCTCCCTACAAACATCGGGAGAGTAAAGGCTCAGGGAAGATGGAACAAGAACCAGAGACCAGTGAAGGTGCCACTGGACTTGTGCACGGGAAAATCTATGAAACCTGCTGTTACCCTTTGGAGACAGAAGTGGCTGCAGCCGAGACTGCACAGGCTGAAATCCGGAGCAGCATGAGACCCAAAGGACCAATCCTTTGGCAAACCCTGCCAACAGAACCAGCAGTTGGTGTCCCCATTCTCTGGGAGCACAGTGGCCACCGGGAACCGGAGCTGCCAACAAAGGGAAACCATTGTGATCCCTAGAGGCTAGCAGATTTCAGGAGTGGACGCTTCAACCAGTGGTCAGTCGCTAGCCAGGTTATCTAAAAAATTTGAACTGCTCAGTGTGGGTCCCACGGTTCAAACTTCCCCACATGCAAATCAGCCTGGATGAGTGCTGCCACCACCAGTTTTTCACTATCTGGAGTATGGAGCAATGGCAGGCCTGAGTAAGGCATCCGCTGTGGCTCATGCGGGGGTGGCCGAGCCAAGGCCTGGGTTCCAGCAATGAAGTCCCTCCATTGTGGCCGCAGCATTGTCACCTGCCATGACAGGATGAACCCCAAGGCCAGCAGACCGACCGAGCAGACAAGAAGGTGCAACCAGGCCAATCCAACAAGCTCCACTAGCACCTCCGGGGATGCCACGTGCAGACCAAGTTCTGCCCAGGTGGGCTTTTTATCCAGGACACGTGTGGATCCAATACCAGTGGATACCGGCTCCAATGCCATGGCCAATTCCTACAGCCGCAGCTGCACCCCCTCCAGCCACTACCCCATCACCATTCCCGGTCACTTTTTTTAAATTACATTTTTATTAAACATACACAAAAAAGAAAGAAAAAGACATTTTAAAAACAATGAACATAGTGCAATCATCTTAATCCACATAGTTGTTTTACATCACTAAGTCATATAAAAAGTAGTACATATTTACATTCTATATACATAGTATATAACATATGCATAAACCTTAATCATTTCTTTTCTTGATCCTTCCTTTTTTCCAGCCAGTGATAAAACTTGTCCCATATTTTGTAATAATCAGATTTGTCCTTATTTTTTAATTCTTTTGTCAATTTATCAATTTCTGTGCACATCCAAATTTTCCTAATTATTTCTATTTTGCCTGGGGTTTCTTTACATTTCCACTGTTGGACATAGGCTAATCTTGCAGCTGTGATTACATGGATTATTAAATATATAATATCTTTGTCACATTTTCCCACATTAATTCCTAACAAGAAAAATTCAAGTCTATACTCTATTTTAATTTTATACATCTCTTCTAACCATTTCTGGATTTTCTGCCAAAACATTTGGGCTTCTTTGCAATTCCACCATAAATGATAATATGTTCCATTTTCCTTATTACACTTCCAACATACAGGGGAAAGATGTGGGTACATTTTAGCCAATTTTGATGGTGGTATATGCCATCTATAAAACAATTTATATAAATTTTCCTTAAACAATGTGGCCAAAGTCATTTTTTTGTTTTGTTCCCAATTTTTTTTCCAATCATCCAAATTTATATTATATCCAAAATCTTTCATCCATGCCAACATCGTTTCTTTTACTTTTTCTTCTTCTAATTTACATTCCAATAACACTTTATAAATTTTTATCAATTTCTCATCAGTTCCCAATAGTACATCTAATTGTGTTTTACACCTGCTGATTCTCCATTCATTCATATCTTTCCCATATCTCGATTGGAGTTGTAAGTAAGCCCACCATTCTATGTCTACTCCTTGGCCTTTCAAATCTTGCTTTGATCGTAATTCTCCTCTATCATTTAAAATATTCTCATAAGTAATAATTTTTCCTTGGCGGAGTAAGTGTGGGTACATCAAAGCTTCCAGTGTAAATAGCCATATTGGTGTTTCTACATAAATTTGTCTTTTAGCTTTGTTCCATGCGGTTAACCATGTCTGCCTAATTTTGTGTCTTGGGAAGTATCTATGGCCTTCTTGTTTGTCCTGCCATAAAAAAGCGTGCCATCCTGCCTGTAAATTGTAACCTTCTAGAGTTAATATTCTTTTATTCTTGTGATTTATCCAATCTTTAACGCTTGTTAGGATTGCAGTTCTACAATACAATTCCCAGTCAGGTAGGCCAAATCCAACCTAATCTGTGGCATCTTGCAACAATTTTAATTTTATTCTTGGTTTTTTTTTTCCCATATGAATCTCAATGTCAATTTATTTAGTTAGAAGAAAAAAACTTTAATACAAATAGAGCTAAAGACAGCTAAAGCCTATTTTACTTCATGGATTGAAGTGAGATAATGATAAAATTACAGGTGTGCCATGGAAAATGATATTCCAGAAAATGGTTATGCTGTGGTTACATGCAAGTGGAAAAAGCACTGTATTTGCAAAATATCTCCCATTCAAATTTTGTTTCTTCACAACATAGAATAGGTCATAGCAATGGATCTACCAAACCCTAATATCCATAACACATTATTTTTAGGAATCACAGTCAAATCAAAATATTTGGTTGCACAATGAATCTTTTTGTGTCTATCTATCTGACATTGTACATACCAATAGTTATCATTTCAAAAGTGACAGAAGAGGTAAAAAAAGAAACAATGGCAAAAATACTTCAATATTCAGATTAAGGTATTTTATGGTTCTTACTTAATAAAGGAGGTAGCCAGTTCAGATTAACTTCACAGTGCGAATCTAGAAAAGTCAATACTTCTCCTGTAGCTATTGAAGCTCCAAGTAATCTGGTGCGAATAAGTCCTTCCCGCTTCTTGGTGCGCACAATTCTCACTTTGTCAATATGAACCATATATTCCTCCAGTTTTTCTTTTAAATGTTCTACAAAAGATATGGATAAGAATATGGAAGCTTAGGTTAGGAAGGGATGACTCAAGAATATATGATCCTTTTCATTATACATATTCGCATTCACTTTGCTTTTTTATCCAGAGCTCCTCATTGTTTGCCAAACTGTCTGAGGAGCTTCATAAATGACAAATGCTTTTTTGTATAAATACAGAAAAAGAAATAACTGACATTTTAAAATCTCTTCATAGAACATTCACTGTTGGAAAACTTCCAGCTTGCATAGAATCATAATTATAATGACCTCAAGATGCTCATCCACCTCCAGAGCCTGCTGTCCAAGGCCAAATGAACATTCTGGCATATGGTTTTGCACATGGTGCCCTTTCTAAATAAGCTTACTAGCTTATTTATGTAAAAATATGGATAGTATGAATGTGTATTTATTTCCATTTATATAGTTAAATCAGCATTAATGAAGGTGCAAGATCAAATACATTTTTGGAGTAACTTCAAAAACTAGATACATTTTTTCAGCAAATAAACAATTGCTAAGGCTTTATTAATAGCAGTTAGCTATATACCCCTTCCCTTTCAATTCCTCTAGTTGACATTAGGAAGAATGACAGTCAGAACAGACATCAGAAAACCAGAAAGACTGTGAGTTCTAGGGTGCCTTAGATGCAAAGCCAACTACTTATTTTCCCTAAGTCTTCTGAAGAAGGCAATGGCAAATCACTTCTCTATCAGAATACTCAATCAGAATACAGCGGGAAAGGATCTTGGAGATCTTCTAGTCCAACCCCCTGTTTAAGCAGGAGACCCTATACCATTTCAGATAGGTGGCTGAAATGGTATAGGGCCTTCTGCTTAAGAAGGAGGTGGCTAAAAACCCCAGTGATGAAACACCTACAGCATCTGAAGGCAAGCTGTTCCACTGGTTAATTGTCCTCACTGTTAGGAAGTTTATCTTAATTCCAAGTTGCTTCTCTCCTTGATTAGTTTCCATCCATTGTTTCTTGTATTCCCCCCTGGTGCTTTGGAAAATAAGTTAACTTCTTCTTCTTTGTAGCTGCCTCTTTTCTCTAGGCTGGCCATACCCAGTACCTGCAACCGTTCTTCATATGTCTTTGTCTTCAGGCCCTTAATCATCTTAGTTGCTCTTCTTTGCACTTTTCCAAAGTCTCAACATCTATTGTGTAATGTACCAAAACTGCATGCAGTATTCCAGGTGTGGTCTTACTAGTACTTCTAGTAAGACCACAAGTTCTAGTACTTCATGTGATTTTTTTTAATACAACCAAGGATTGCATTAGCTTTTTTTGTATTAGCTGCTGTTGCACACAGCTGGCTCATGCTTAAGTGATCATCTCCAAGGTCCCTTTCACATTTACTGTTTTTGAGCCAGGTTTCACCTAATCTGTACTTGTAGCTTTGGTTTTATCTGCCTGGGTGTAAAATACTGCTTTTCTCCACTTTTTCATTTTGTTGGACAGGGCCCGTTGTTCAAGTCTGTCAAGATATTTGTGAATCCTGAGCTTGTCTTCTGGGGTGTTGGCTATTCCTGCCAGCTTAGTGTCACCTGCAAATTTAATGAGTTCTATTCCTTCATCTAAGTCATTTATGAAGATATTGGCCTAAGACAGAAACTTGTGGTAGGTCACTGCTTACTTCCCTCCATGCAGATACAGTACCATTAAGAACTACTCACTGAGTACAGTTTGTCAGTCAGTTACAAATCCAAAAACCTGCAGGAATTTGTTTAGGCAGTGTCTGAAAATTGGTCATGACTGAACAGAAGAGGAAAAAGATATGGCTTTCACACCTGTCTTTTTCTAAAACCAAATATAACATTGCTTTCATAAAGTATATCACTCCACCAAATTAATTATTCTAATATCAATACATGTGTCCCCAGTAGTAGTGGGATTCAAATTTTTTTACTACTGGTTCTGTGGGCATGGCTTGGTGGGTGTGGCAGGGGAAGGATACTGTAAAATCTCCAGTCAAGAGGGGTGGTATTTGCCAGTTCTCTGAACTACTCAAAATTTCCACTACCGGTTCTCCAGAACAGGTCAGAACCTGCTGAATACCATCACTGGTCCCCAGCCATTATGAATACAAGTTGTGGATTTGGGGGTCATGAGGCATCAAATACAAATAATAATAAGTAATAATAGAGAGCCAATTTGTCACGTTTTGTTTAAGGCAGCAGGTTAGAGAGCAGGACCATGAATTCAAGTCCTGCCTTACCCAGGAAAGCCAGCTGGGAGACCTTGGGCCAGTCACCTTCTCTCAGCAGAAGTCATCTCACAGGGTTATGGGGTAATTAGGAGAAGGAAGCTGTGTTGCCTATGTTTGCTATCTTGAGTTATTTGTAAAAAATAATAAATGGGATATAAATAAACAAATCTTGAGTTTTGTCATTACCTATCATTTGGATCCTAGAAAGATCATGTAAGATTTTTTTTCTGTAGAAGTTCCAAGGATATTATTTAGGTACCAATAAAGGTTTCTCTTGAAGTCTACTGTATGGAATGCAGTAAATGGTAATGGAAGACCAGTTAATTATTTTGTAGAGTTCATGACTGTGAGTCAAAAATTAAAGTTTTGTTCCTCATCTACTATAATCTGAATATTACTCAGACTTCCTTGCATCTGCTATTTTCCTAATAAAATTGTGTACATTAAGCGTACTATTTCCTGTGGCAAAAATCCACACATTACACTTTCCTTTTTGCTGCCCTTTAGCAGTATACATTTTTGCAGCCCAGATGATAATCATAATATTAATTTAATTAATATAATCAACTTAATTAATCTGACATTCAGTGTTATCCCAAGAAAATGAACTTGCATAAAACCAGAAGTATGCCCAGTTTTGACTCTACGAGCAAATTTAGATATGACTCTAAGCTAATTAATCTCCAGATAAGCATCTGATAAAAATAACCATTAGTTCTTTGCTAGCGTTTAGTGATTATCGGGATTTTCCCAACTCAAATTGAACAGCCTTAATTTTGAGAGGCAAAATTTCTTACTCCAGTCAAAAACTAAGAGCAAATAAAATTAAGTTTAAGTTCAGATCTTTACTATAGCAGTAAGGATGGTGGAATGTATATAATTTTCTGCCCTTATCACCAGAAATTATCTAGTGACACCGTTAAAGCTTATCTATATCAGAATCAGAAGAACTACATTTAGGTGTAGTTTTATGACTTTTGCAGACAAAATAATTTGTATCTGTTCATAGTCCACTGTCAGCAGGCCAGAGATTGGTGAATTGGGATTGTTGAAACCTTGCAAGTCATCTGGGAATCTGTGGACTGAGAAACTGGGCAAGGTTCTCCATGGAATAAGTTTTGTCCTATTTGGACTTACCTCTTTTGACTCAAATGAGCTACCAAAAATAGACAAAGAGCTATATCAAAAAAGTAATAAATATCTATTTGAGAGAGGAGGTGGTGATAATGGCTTTGAAGAGGTTTTCCTCATCAAAAGTAATTTTTGGTTCAGGCATTTTGGACAATCCATCTCCCATATCTTTTGGGGGTAAAGATTGTGGAGATGATGATGGGAAGCAACTACAGAGAACCTACCCAGGTCAATTCTATGTGAGGGATAAGGGAACAACTGAGCAAGGAATGTGATGGAAATCTTAATTATGTACATTGTTGTATTATGCTCAGTTTTTTAATTGGATGATATTACTTTTCATTATAAATTATTTTTTACAGTGGTCTTTTAATTTACATAAATACATTTATTTATTCATGATATTTGTTCATATTAATTTTTTATCATATGATGATGTGGAATTAAGATTTATTTGTCAGCTGCCCAGTGCCTTTGATTGGGGAGACACACAAAATTTTAGTCAATAAATAATTAACTTGCCTCAAATAATTTCAGGACTTACACTAACAGATTTACAATTATAAAAATATCTGCCATAATACCTATTGCATGCAAATAAAATAGTCATTATTATTCAAACTAGAAATTTAGGATAATTGCTCAATGTCAAAGCACAAAGAAATGTGAAATTATTTCAGATTTATATTATAAGAATCAGAAGATTTCTATAAAACTGCTATGCGATAATGAGAAAGTCCACTAAAATGAAATAACTATAATATATTTAGGATGCATGCATCCTGGTAATTTATTATCACTGGATTCTTTTCTGGAATACTTGCTGTGACACTGGAGCATTAATCTCAGATAGTTTTTGTATATGGTAATATATTGCATAAATTCCAATTTTAGACAGAATGGAATGGACTGAGAAGAAATAATTTGGCTATGTTTATTTATTTATTTTTTGTGCAATAATGGTATATGTGAAATGCAGGCACCAGTATAATTTCTGATCAAAATGGGGAGTTGGTTCTTAATTTAAATTATTTTTTAAAAATCATTATTTTTTTCATGCTATTTACTAAACAAGGTAATCAATCATAGAGCAGATATATGCCAGGAATCTGCCAGATAGGAATTGGCAGAAAAACAGACAAATAAAATGATATGCAGGAACAGGAGCTTTATAGGTTGTCAGTAGCTTGACAAGCAATGATAAAGGACAGTATTATGGTTCCCCTAGTGACATTCTATAAACAAATTCTCTATTGTAATTATTTTCCGTGTGTCGTTTTTATCTTCATTTAAAGTAAAGAGAAATTTACAGAAAGAATAGCAAACAGGCAATTCTTTTCCCTGTCCTAATAACTAAGAGGGACTTGGCAGAATGGTCAAAGATATGCTTCAGTCAAGGCTGCCAATGTCCTTGGCCCATTTTTTAGAGTTGCCAACATTTTTTGAGATATTTCACAGTCTGGGCCAAAAACCTTTAAACATCTCCAGTAATGCTGTGATGATGAGAATCGTGTCTGTTGATTTTCTGTCTCTCACAGAGGTAGTGGGGTCATTAGGTAAGAGATTGAAAATAAAACTACTGCCTCATAATGAACTCGTATTTGGAATACAGTGTCTAGTTTGGTTGCCTCATTTGAAAAAGAATATAATAAAACAGT